CTCTTGGCAAAGAAAAGGAAAACAAAACGTATAATAACAGGAATAAAAATTTACATTTTGCATGGTCTTAAATATTGACTTTGCAAGTGTCGAGTTATTTATTTCAAAGTTGTTGTTTTTTTCTTTTGTTGTTGTTTGATTTGGATCTATAAATAAAGTGTAATCAAACACGTTTAGTAATATATGAAACAAATATTCATATAACGCATTATAAAGAGTCTTATGCTTATGTGTTCTTAGAGCGTACGTTGTGCTTATTCATAGTTGGCTTGTGCGGAATTTGGTATCGTGTATTTCATTTTCTGCTTCTAAATTCCCTCGTGCTGTCCAACTGTAACTAATTCTTAATTTACCAAGCAATTAATTAAATTTTTCATATTCCACTCCGGCAGTTGTTTCCAGCTATCCGCAGAGCCCTCTAGAACATTCTCTGTATGTCAGCTTGAATTATTGAATAATTTTGTTTGTAAGTTATCCAGGACTTAAACCTATTTATTTCACACAGCTGTACCGACCAATCCCTACATATATTGTATTCTAAGGTGCAAGAGTGATCGGGTAGGATCCTCAGGATAACAGAATTTTATGGATACAATATAAAACACACAGTGAGAACAATCATTATTTAACACCAAATCAACAAAATGAGTGTGCTCACAAATATCGACACAGTTATTGGATCATTTTCAAAATTTATTCCAGACTGAGAAAACATAGCATTATATACACAGTACAATAATGCCATTGTTCCCAGAACGTGTGCGCTACCCACACCACTGTTGGCCATTCCCATAAAAAAAATAAGGGAGGTTATATTCTCAAGATTTCGTCTGGCCTTTAGTGGAAAAGACTGTTGTCTTCTTCTACTGTACCGTCCCATGAGTGAGTGCACGTGATACCCTTGATGAATGGCTCAGAACAATAGGTAACTAGAATGAAAGGGACTGAACTACTACTTTGCCCAACGTTATATGTTAAAACCACACGTTCTGTATTTACGAAAATTTTGAAAACAAAGTAAAATAGGGGGGGGGATAGAAAACACACAGGATGCCTGTATAAAACACATTTTCTTGGAATTCTATCATTCTTGATTATCTTATAATAGTCTTTTGGGTATCATCGTTATTAAGTATTCAGAAAATGTGATGGAGAAAACTCTTTTTAATGAGACGCTGTAACTTAAATATTGGGCGTTTCAAAATTATACGTAACTTATAGAAACAAAAATGACTTTTATTAATTATTCCGATACCTTTTATGTATGAGATTAAATATAATCACTAATTCTTTTAACAGCAAAATTACGCAAGAAAATTTGTTCCGGGTTTGGCCAAGTAGTTAGCATAGCCCTGACTGTGAATTCGACAGTCCTGCTGTTGACGAAACGCGCTCTGTACTTAAGAGCCGCGTGCGCGTTATAAGAGTGACGATCAAATTCCACTATCTGATTAGAGTAGCCCAAGGGTTGGCGGTAAGTGCTATTCAATATCTGCCTTCCCTCTAGTCTTATAAGTTCAAAATTAGGAACGGATATGAGCAGATAGCCCTCGTTTAGCTTTGTGCAAAAACTCTAGAAACTAAACAATAAAGAAAAGTATAATTAAAGACGCATCTTGTCTTACATGCTAAATAATATTGATTCAACAAAACGTAATCTGCTAATCGATGTGTTTGTAGGTATGCACAAAGCTACACAATGGGCTATCTGTGCTCTGCCCACCACGGATATCGAAACCCGGTTTCTAGCGTTGTAAGTCCGCAGACATACCACTGTGCCACTGAGGGGCTTGTTTGTTTGAAGTTAAGCA